ATGTGTCTCCAAAAATTTAATCTGCTTCTGAAATACAGAAATATGTTACAGTGAAATAAGACCAATAACTACAAACGCAGCTGTCTTTTAAACAAAGGCAGAAACACACTGGACAGTATTGATGTCGTGTGAAGTCAAATGTTTATTAATGAGCGTCACACACTCATAGGTACATAAGGTGACAGCTACAGCTGATAAGATATTTAATCGATATTTGATTGGTTACAGGTTTGTGTTGTCATGAGTTGGCGTCAGCTAGAGAACCACTGGAAAAGCATCAAGGAATACTGGACAGCTTTTTCACTCTAGTTCAGAGCTCTTCAACAGTACTTAGCCATCGGAATCTACCATGTCTCAGGTAGGAGATCAATTATTCGCCTATAACACATTGGCTAGCGGTTTGCGCTACGCAGATATCACGAATTGTGGCAGAAGTTCAGAATTCATGGCGCGGCCATTGAATTGGATACCGGTGACTAAATGTTCTACGAACTCGCTTTGTAGCCGGAAAGTCGTGAGTTTGAATCCCGGTAGATCTGCGTACTGCCAGAGTCCCTCTATTACATTATTATCATTCTTTTGCTTTCCGGGTGGAAGCCGTACGGCTTTAAAAATACATCTTCACTTTGTTCTATTTTCTGCCGTCTTCTTCAGCTGGGTCCACGATTGACCCAACTCTCTCATTTCTTCCTCACACGATCTCCTCCATGTCATCCTGGCACTAACGACCTACCCATCACTTAGCATTTGGATTCTACTCGAGTAATGGCCTGTGGTGCGATGTCATTCGACGGCCTCCTCAATGTATACTCGTTCCATCTCCACTTTCTCCTACATATTTGTTGAGCAATCGGCTCTTTTGTTTGGTTTATTCCCAGGCAGAGTTTCTTGTTACTTATTCTTTGTGGCTGGCCATTTTGATCTTCAGTATGTGAAGCCAGCAAAGGCAGCTATTGATGAAAGTCTACCAGAGTCCCTCTCACTAGTACGAAGCTACTTTCCTAGCTACTTAACTGTTGCAATTAAAAGAATTCTATAGCTTATATAAACATGAAGAACGTTAAAAATTACTCACTTAAATTTCACTAAAGTGAAATTATGTATGTGATGAATAGTATTGCCATGAAGTATACAACTGCTGAACAAAGAAGGAAAGTGAGAAATCTAAACCATAATATACCCTCAACTGAACGAGTGACCCAATGACCTTGAACCAACCAATCATGTTGAAAGAGGGATTAATGTATTCCGCAGTTAGCGTATTACACATGTCAAATAAATTACGTTTTCAAGTGAACTGTCGTCAAGATTTGACAGAATAGTTCTAAAATATTTGAGCGCTGAGTGAAAAGTAGACAGTTGCAAAAAATTATATTTGTAAAATCTCAGCGATATTGAAATGAGTAATTCCAACGTTTCCAGTGTTCGGCAATCTGGTCCGAACTTCTTCAGGGGAATAATCGAAATTAACATAACAGAGGTTTATATATAAAAGGAACATCTTTAGTTTTTAAAAACTTTGTCCAATCATGATTCATAAAACAAATATAATAAACAAAATTGTACGAGTTGTGATCAAAATTTGACCTCAGACTTACAAATATTGATCTACCTTTGTTAAACACTTTAAACACAGTATGTGTGTGTGTGTGCGGGTAAACGGTTGTAAAACAATGTCTTAACGTCTCCATAATTAGATATAGGCAGTCGGGAATTTCGACCAAGTATTATTAGTTAGTGACACATATCCCTTCTTATTTATTAATCAGGATTTCCTATGCATCAGCTAACACAGATCACACCTTCATGTCTGTTCAAACTGTTAGTATCTAGAATTTTATGATTAGACGTATCTTCAAAATTATGGTGTTTAGGATTAGAGTTTAGTTGAAACACCCTGTCAAACTTATTACTTTGTCTTATTTCTGAAGGTTGAACTGCTATATTCGACCTACTGGAGTTGTCAGGTGACTGGACAGCTACGGATTTAGGGTACGCATTCTGTTGCAGACACCGGAGAGTGGAAACACGATGATTGTGCCAATTACATAGAGTTTCTTTGTTAATTTAATATTATTTTGTTGATATCTATACAATTGAACACTAATCACTTTTTTAAAAAAACCTTATTGTTTGTTTGTTTCTGCCTCCCCCGTGCCATCTCTGCCACTGTGTATTCCAGTTTCTGTACGAATTGTTTTATTATATTCGTGATGCTAAAGACTGTTTAACTCAACCACCGCGGAAAACTATTGAAGAGCATTTGGCTAATCCAAGTCGAGTAAGTTCTGTGTGTGTGTGTGTGTTTGTATGTATGTGTAAATTGTGTAGTTTTAAATGAAATCTAGATAGTGTTGTTATTAGAATAAAGTATAATTATATGTTTCAATGGTTTACACACAATGATAAGTTTTGTTGTTTTGGTAATATTTCGAGCAGAATTACTACCCGTGTTCACACCAGCCGTTTGGAATTGTTTTGTTTTTTAATTCACACACTTATGATTCATGCTCAGGCGAAGTTAAACTTTCGACACCACTAACTACCAATCAGCGAATTATCCAATGAGATTCACGAACGATGTCGAATTATCCAGTGAGGTTCACGAACGCAGTCCAATGTTGTATAGCGCTTGATTCATTTCTAATGCGTGACCTTACAAAGCTATTGTTGCAATTCGAGGAGGTTAGCGTTTTCCAGTATTTCCTGGATTTGAGTTGCGCCGGAAAGAGCGAATTTGTTTGTGTGGTTGTATCATTACTTTAAAAAGCTATACCAAATCAACTGATGGGTTTGTTCATCGTTGTGCTATATGTTTGAAGCCTACTAACGCTAGAGAGAGTAAGCTGATAATTTTAATATTTCGTAGGAACTTTTTTCGCTAGGTCGCTTCTCTCCCTAAGGATAGCAGATAGAAAAGCAACTACTCTTATACCTATTGTTACCAGACTTGTTAAGCGGGGGTCAATTATACACACTGACGAGTGGAAAGGCTACAATTCACTGTCATCTCTGGGATATATTCATCACAGAGTCAACCATTCAAGTGATTCTGTGGATCCCGTTACGAGGACACATACAAATTCTATTGAAGGATTTTGGGGCAGGTTGAAAAATAGGATAAGGGCTATAAATGGATCTCATTTATGGTCATTTGGATGAATATATGTACAGGATATGGTGTAACTTCTCCATTGACAGTCCCATGCTAAACTCGGAGATGTTTCTCTCACATGTTCGAGAAAGATATCCCATGTAACTTTTTTATTCTCTATTTTATGCTTTTTTCTACAAATATACATTTCCATTCATCATATATGCCTCTTTAATGTGACTGGTCCGTTCAAGATCGTTTGCTGATTGGTTGTTAGTGGTGTCGAAAGTTTAACTTTGCCCATACTCATACACATGGTTCATCTTTTTGTTCATTCATTTTTGCATATTCAGAATTACATTGCAGGTTGATGGATGGTGACTAGCAGTTGAAGTCCAACAGGATGCGCGTCTCGTGCTGTTTGGGACTTGTCAGCTGGATGTCAGCTGTATTCCTCAGTGAGTGATGATGTTCCCATCGAGGCTCATAGTTTCAAACACCAAAGCATCCTGGATTCTACTGCTAGTCACCATCCACCAATTAACTTCTAATTACATGCCCAGACATCGTCGAAGCATCTGCACAAGAAGCCGACAGACATGTCAACCTGAGACACGGAGCACTTCGGTCCAATGAATCAGTTAACGGGAAAATCTAAAATTGAATTAAATATAATCCAGGTTGTTGACAGTTGTACTGAGTCACCCTTGTTACAAGTATCATTGTGTATTTTTTGTTTTTATTCCTGTATGTTCCCAGTGGAACATAGGGCTTCAAGCTAGAGGCTTGAAGTTTTTGTAGCAGTATTTATTTTTACAGCCTCGGCAGTACGCACCCACTGGGGTTCGAACTCACCACCTTCCGGCTACAACCAAGCAAGCAAGCTCGTATACCATTCAGTCACTGGGACCCGATTCAATGGTCAGTCCATGAATTCTAACTTCTACCGATTCGTGATTTAGCGTGACCGCCAACCAATCCGTGATCGGCAGGAAGTCCATCCTCACACTTGACTGGTTTGACCTCACTGGTCACAATTTTCAATGGTTCTCTAACTGATATCAATCCATTGTGAAACTCGTAACAATAATAAGAATAACTAACACTAAGTTTGGTTCAACAATAAAATAAGGTTTACCAGGGTAGGTTAAGAGTGGGGGTGGCGGGGCGCTTAAGTTTGATGAATGGCTATCAACTTAGTGTATTTGAGTTAGTGTCCTTGACCGTTTTTTTAAAATAACCTTAAAAGCTGTTTTGCTGTCCATCCTGTGGTTCACATGTTGATTACATGTTTAGCTATAGACGAAGTTAGTAGTCTTCCACCTGCGTCTGTCAATTTTTTCCAAGTTCATCTGTTTTTCTAACCTCTTCGGGATACGCTCTCTCACCCTCACATACGAAGCGTGATTACTCCTCCCTATGTATGGGTATCCATACACTCACTCACACACACACACACGTAAAGTGATATTTAGTGTAAGATGTAACATAATCACTTGTGCACTTTTGAGGTTTGTTGTGGAGCATACCTGTTGGCTTTCTCAATAATTTAATAGTGTGAAAATATTCCCATATCATGAATTAAAAGTCAATCTGAACAAAGAACATTCTTTTCAGTAAGTTCACCTCTTCAGGTTCTTACAATTATAAAATAGAATATTTTTTATCATCGTTACAATAATAGCCAGTCAGTTATGCGGCGGATACATTTTTTTAACGTAGAATAACAGATTAGTAATTATGGGGTGTCAAAATAAATAATCGTATTTGTGTGACAAACGTCGTGCTAGTTGGCTGAAATCGATTACGAAATATTTCGGTGAAATGGGAGACAATGGTGATGGTGATTAGTCGTAATAGATTTGTAGAATGTGGAGTAGGAAAATTGACAAATCAATTCAAGAAAATTAAAACAATTAGTCCCTTTGATAAATTTGAACAAGGCGTTAAGAAGACAAATTTCGCGAGATGATATCATTTCGTAGTTTCTTTACAACCGCTTTACAACTAACATGGTTAACAATGATAAAATAAAGTTCATGAAATTTACTCAGTTAAATAAAAACAAAAGTACATACTAATGACCAATCATATTAAGATAGGTCATGCAGTCCAGGGTAGGCGAAGATTGAAGTCTATTGATTTTTGTACACACAGTTTAGGCTGTATGTGATTAATCCAAAGTGCTTCCATCACCTTCAATAACCTTGAATTAGAGTTATGTGAAATAATTGTGAAACAGTCATTAATATTTATTTTGTGACCAGACATTAATAAGTGTTTTGCAATGGATGATGCTGGATTTCTATTAAGATTAATCGCGTTGGGATTTTCGATATGGTTTACTAGCCATTTTGGAATATGTTCTTTTCGACGACATTGGAACATTCTGTTAGTTCTACCTATATAGGTGTCACCGCAGCTGCAGGTGAACTTGTAGATACAGTTTGAAGTAGAGTCCACAGAATTTCGTCCTTTAATCGTAGGAACAGGGATCGAAAATGTTCGGCAAGTGAGAAAAAGAGATGCGGCGTAGAATGTGCGTTTGATGGCTGATCGAAGTCTTTGAGCTGTCAACTGCATAATCTGGTCGCCCTTGAATGGTAGATTAATAAAGATAGCTTTCTTTGGTACAGAAGCTGTCTTTTCGAGATGTGGTTTTTCTTTGCTGTGACAAGTGATAAAGCTCTCCGGATAACCATTAGCTAATAAAACTGAATGTACATGTCGAAGCTCATCCATCAGTGTGTCACTCGTGCATATTTTTCGGGCCCTTGAGAAACAAATACAAGGTATGCTTGGAGGATTTATGCTGTATAAACGTTATGTTGATGATACTCTTATTATTGGTAATAATAGTGAATCTATTGAAAACTTCATTACTCTATTTAATCATATTCATCCAAATATTCGAGTGACTTCCGAACTAGAATCGAATAACAAACTTGGTTTCCTGGATATTACTATGACTAGGAGAAATGATGGAACGATTCAGCGCTCTATTTTTCGTAAACAAACATGGACTGGACAATATCTTCATTTTACCAGTTTTGTTCCTATCCAGTATAAACGTTCCCTAGTGAAATGTTTGTTCTCAAGGGCCCGAAAAATATGCACGAGTGACACACTGATGGATGAGCTTCGACATGTACATTCAGTTTTATTAGCTAATGGTTATCCGGAGAGCTTTATCACTTGTCACAGCAAAGAAAAACCACATCTCGAAAAGACAGCTTCTGTACCAAAGAAAGCTATCTTTATTAATCTACCATTCAAGGGCGACCAGATTATGCAGTTGACAGCTCAAAGACTTCGATCAGCCATCAAACGCACATTCTACGCCGCATCTCTTTTTCTCACTTGCCGAACATTTTCGATCCCTGTTCCTACGATTAAAGGACGAAATTCTGTGGACTCTACTTCAAACTGTATCTACAAGTTCACCTGCAGCTGCGGTGACACCTATATAGGTAGAACTAACAGAATGTTCCAATGTCGTCGAAAAGAACATATTCCAAAATGGCTAGTAAACCATATCGAAAATCCCAACGCGATTAATCTTAATAGAAATCCAGCATCATCCATTGCAAAACACTTATTAATGTCTGGTCACAAAATAAATATTAATGACTGTTTCACAATTATTTCACATAACTCTAATTCAAGGTTATTGAAGGTGATGGAAGCACTTTGGATTAATCACATACAGCCTAAACTGTGTGTACAAAAATCAATAGACTTCAATCTTCGCCTACCCTGGACTGCATGACCTATCTTAATATGATTGGTCATTAGTATGTACTTTTGTTTTTATTTAACTGAGTAAATTTCATGAACTTTATTTTATCATTGTTAACCATGTTAGTTGTAAAGCGGTTGTAAAGAAACTACGAAATGATATCATCTCGCGAAATTTGTCTTCTTAACGCCTTGTTCAAATCAATTCAAGGTTATAAAAGGTGTCGGGTGAGTGAGTGAGTGGCGAGTACAAATTGGTCTGTATTAAACAGGTCTGACTTGAGGTTATGAATTGCCAAGGCTTCTGCTGTCTTTAGAAGTCGCTAACGAAGAAAACGCGGCCAGCAAGCTAGCATGGATTCTAAGAATGATCTTGAAATCATTATCAGGGTTGACCGAGTGACAGAAGTCGATCAGGTGTTACAGAATAGAGCTTCGCACACACTTCCTTTCTGCCTTGTAAAACTATGCTGCTGGAATATGTTCTCGTATCCGTGTGGAAAGCGTCCTCTGACTACGGCCAATGTACCTTACTCCACAAGAGCAGGTGAACTCATAGATGCACATGGAGGCGGCCAGACGGGGGAGCTTATCTTTTACAGAGGTAGAGAACAGCTTGCGGCTAGTAAACGTCATATATAATTTTGCTGCAAAGAACGTCTTACTGACTGATTTGGTGGAGAGACGCTTTTCAAGCATATCTGAAACTTGATCACCTTTGAGTTCCAAGTTCATGAATAAGGTTTTCTTTGGAACCAGTTTTCAGCAAGAGTATGCATCAGTATTTTATTTTCCTTTTCTATAACATCAGCTGTATAAATACGCTGAATTCTCTTGAATAAAATTTCACCAAACCTCTCTTATACTGTAGTTGACAGAAGCTGTGAAAATTTAAATATTGCCGTGTCCAACTCAGAAGTTTCTCTAAAAATACAATCTGGTTGCAACTTTCTTCATGGAAATCAAAGGCCCGATGGATGGGTCATTGAAATAACCACCTGCTTTGGTCTGGGTGTCTGAACAGTATCCCATCCCTAGCACCGACTAAAAGATGTTTTGTGTCAAATCTCTTTGTGCTCTTTATGCGCCAAGTTTCTTTTTATAATAATAATAATATTGTTAAGATAAGATAAGCTTTATTCCAAATCAGTACTTGTGATACAGAATGGAATTCTCAGCATTTTACTACAATATTGCATCCAGTTAGTACATTAACAATAAATATAGTTCTACATAGATTAAGGTTATCTCAGTCAGTTTTGACAACAACATATTAGCATGTCGGTAGCAAAGCCAAAATTAAACAGTGTTTGAAGGTGTTAGAAAAGTAGATACTACTAGCATATTTACTGGCGTAAGCGATAGCAAAATGGTCGAGATATACAGAGTGTGAAAGAACGAACAAGAATGTTTTAAGTAGAGTTTGCAAGGAAGAGAGAAACAAAACAGCACATAACAAAAATAAATACAGAAAGAGAAAAAATGGAGAGAAAACGTTGTACCTGTAAATGATGTGAGTTGGAAAGACGAGATCCATTGTTCTACTGACTATTTAATAAGTTAAAGGTTTCACGCCTAATGCTTTCTTTATCGCACAGAACACGAGCTAGGTAGGGTATGGATGAGTTTTTGTACTTACTAGTGCGGGCATATAGTTTCCTATATAGGCTTCTGTTTTCCCTGAAGAGATACATGGGGAGAGTTGTGAATGTAGAGGGTGTTGTGAGTCAGATAAAATGGATTTCGCCCATTTTTCACATGAGTCCATGTGCCTGTCCACCAGAATATTAACAAGCTGGCTAAGTGGCAAACTGCTTACCCTGCTGACAACCTTTAACATCCTACGTAATAAGGTATAGTCTTTCTTCAATAGCCCAGGAAAGACTAAGGGGGAACAATAGAGAATAATAGGCAGAATACGGGAGTTAACAAATTGTAGGAGTAAGGGTTGGGTTACACCAGAATGTCTTAACTTCTTGATGTAGAAGGTAAGACGGAATATTTTCTTGGAAATCGTCAAGATATGAGACGACCAGGAAAGATCAGAAGATAGAGTGACGCCTAGGTATTTAATTTCCGACTTGGTTTCTATTTCAATGCCATCTATGTTGCACACCTCGTGAGTGCTAACCAGTTTGTTTAGGTCAGATTTATGCCTAAGGGTGAAATTAACTGTTTGGCATTTGGAGGGGTTTAAGGTGAGACCGTTTTCCTTGGACCATTGGCTGATTTCTGATAAGAAGCCATTTAGTTTAGAGCAGTCACTTTGACATTTGACAGGTAAAGATACAGTTAGGTCATCAGCATATTTGACAAAGTTAATGTCATTTGAAGATGGTAGGTCATGTAGGAAGAATGAGAAGTGGGGAGAGTACAGCACCTTGGGGGACACCAGCTTCAGTGAGCACAGCAGAGGAGGATTCGCCTTTGTATACGGTGTACTGCATTCTGTTTGAAAAGTAGGAATGCAACCAGTTAGTGACCCAGGACTCGGTTTGTGTCATGGAGAGCTTATTTAGCAAGAGACTTCTAGGTACAGAGTCGAAAGCAGAAGTAAAGTCAAGAAACGTGCAGCGGACATATTTGGCACCTTTGTCTAATGATGAGACAATACTGTTGTGTAAGACGGCTGCAGCGTCTAAAGTACTCCTACCCTGTCTGTAGGCAAATTGTTTGGGGTCTTCGAAGCTTTTAAGGGAGGGTTCAAGTTTAAGAAGTACTAGTTTTTCCATGAGCTTTAGAAACGGGGAAGTGATGGCAATGGGTCTGAACTTTACGTTCTTGCTATTGCCAGGTTTAGGGACAGGGACTATTTTAATGTCTTTCCATGGAACAGGTACAACGTTTTCGGAGAAAGAAGCATTTAGGATATTAGTTAGAGGAGAGCATAAAGCATCTGCACATTGTTTTAGAACATATGCAGGTATGCCATCAGGGCCAAGACTATGTGAGGGCTTAAGAGTTTTAAGACATTTCAAAACATCGAGAGTACTAAAGTCCTGGAAGTTATCAGCTACAAGATTAGTAACGTTAGAAGTGGTTATAGTAGGAGAGCGTATAAAAGACAGATTAAGAGCATTAACATCACAAGAGGGAAAAACATTACATCGCTTACTATTGGCAGTAATTTCATTGAAAAATTTCCACATGCTGATAGGGGATTTGTTATCGGTTTTTGTTTGATTGATAACTTTCTGCTAAGAATTCAGTATAAAGATGTGAGTGACCAACTCATAGGCGAGTCTCTCCAATAGATGCCTCTAGTGTGATGAAGTTACAAGTTACAGAAGCATTGAGAAACCTGGAAGTATTGAACAGCTGTTTCATTCCAGTTCAAAACTCTTCGTCAGTACGCAACCACCACCACCACCCTGCTGGTAACGACCAAGTCGTTGAATGATGTCAGCTCTTGATCAAGCCTTTAACCAATCCAATCCTTGAACAAAACAAAACTTGGTAGTATTTCGATAAAGCATATAAAATAGGATTGTCGTATTATCTTACAAGTTGGATTCCTGTGTCGCATTCTGCAATCTACGAATGTTTGGCATACTTTCTATAAATTGATCGTTTTATTGAGCCATCATCTCTCCAACTCAGAAGTTTCTCTAAAAATCCAAGCTGGTTGCAACTTTCTTCCTTGCATGTGAGATTTGTATGATTCTGTACAGAGTTAAGTTTACCTAGCAGACAACTCACATCTTTATGATTATGTCATATCAAAATAATGTCATCAATCGATTAGATTATTTTTAACTCTTAACCACCTACCTACCTTGGTAATACTTATCTGATTTCATGTATAACCAAACGTAGAGTGAATTATTCTTATTATTCTTAAACCCTTTTTGTCGAGTTGGTCGTCAGTGCGATGGTGACATGGAAGAGGAGGTGATGTGAAGAGGAGGTGACAGCATGTGGGCAGATGTGAAGTCAGATGAAAACGTTAGCAGAGAGACGAACTCAATAGAGATGTGCGGCTGAAACTGTATGTTCCTCTAGGGAATTAAAGGAAACAACAATCATAATATAAATAATTCTTA